AGCCGTAGCCGTCTTCGAAATTGGCTGTCGTCGGTGTTGTCTTTCTTGAGGTGTCTGTTGTGCAACTCTCCTTTCTTTCGACATTTCTTCCTTCGCGGTTGCTCGATCCGTTCTTTTGGCGTCTTCCTATGCAAATTCACGCGTCGAAACGCCGCGAACGGTCATCACGGAGGATCGAAGTCAATGAGATTGGGGGGTGACATTTCTAATTGAAAATATGATTATTCTTGTATAGTTAGAAACTTGCATTAAAGGGCAATAAATTTACTACATATAGGTATTAGGAAATAGTACATTTTTACTATATTTGAATTTAATAAATAAATGCTGTTTGTAAATAATGTACAAAACAGAATAAATGTTTTAAACTAATGTAATTGTTAAAGAAAGAAACTTTTGTTTAATTATGGTTTTGTATTAACTTTACACTCGCAGATTAAAAATATATTCCTTTCATATTTTAGAATTATGAAAATAGGTTTGATAAATGTAGATTTGTTATTCTTTCATTACTAAGGTGTACAGATAAGTATGTAGTTCAAATTCTTATAATCGCAATTGTTCAGCCACATTTGTGCGCGGTGACTTTAATGTTTTGTACGTATCGATGTCACCAAACCACGCATTGAAGTCACCGAAGCGGTTCGGATTTTATGCTCGCGTTTACTGTTTTGTGAAAAGTAACTGTTCTTCGGATCTGAATTCTTTTACCGTACTATTTCTACCTATCCTTCTGAAAACGTGCCAGTGTTAAGTCATCTGTCTTTAAAATTGACTAACAACACGATAACAATTTTTTGACCTACGTAACGTTCACCAATGAATCAAACGTTTCGTTCTTAATTATGTTATCAACAATGTTCTAAATTATTTTCAAATAATGATAATATTGAGATTATTGATAAATATCTCAAAAACTACAAACTATTTTCACATTTCACTTTTAAATTAGTTTGATTTATTCGTTTATTTCGAATAGAAAATATTTTATTATATTACTTGGAATTTTTAAATAGTACTCTCTCATTTTCCATGTTATTATGTACATTATTTAGATGTCCCTTGTTTCATTAAATCGCGCGTGACAATCAACGTATATCGGTAATCGTAGACGTGGGAGAAGGAGCTAAACACCGGGACAAGCAATAAATAGAGGAACGTAATGTAATTAACTCATTGATTGCATGCTGGGATGAACAATAACCTTTGTGTATTACTCGTGTACCAATTAATATCATTGAATCGATGCTCGGCGTACACGTGTGTGTACAGGTGTGTATATGAGCATGTGTGCCATAAGGGCGAAAAGAAAAAATTGCATACAGATCAGATAGGCGTTATCTTTGCGTTTATCTCTACGCATTCACAATGACTTTCTCTCCCCCTCTGTTGTCTTTCACCCCTCTTTTTCCAACCATCCCGACATGGTACACGACTGCAAAAGAAAACGAATCAGCTGCATCGTGTCGTTATCGATTGTTAATTAATCGCGCTCCAAACTTTAATACGGGTTTGTTCCGAACGATTCTTGACTAATGAACGGCAGTATGTTAAGGGATTATTACATTTTAATCCAATATTGGTAAGGTAAACGTACCGATTATGAAACGTCTACTGAAACATGTCCTCTTTTTGAAACAGTATCACAAATATCGAAATTACAAATCATTTTGTCATATATCAGCGACTGTAAACATTCTATTAATATTTACACATTCTTTTCTTTACAAATCCAGGAACATGAGTATTGTTATATAATAATCAATTGCAAAAAAAAATATGTTTTAAATGTAGATGCCTCTAAACTTGCAAACATGAACTTCTACTTGTGTGAAAACTGCCAACGTCCGCGACTAATTCTTTTGAAGTTTTTTTACAAATTTAAATTATTTTCGAATGCGTGTGTTAGTATATACGATAGCGTATAAATCATAGATTTGATTTTGCGACTAATGTTCTGAATTTTGATAGTATTTTATTAATTAAATTTTTTGAACGTATGAATTTATGGAATTTTTTCATAAAAAATACGAGTAACTATACGTAATTCAAACTTTTTAATAAATATCAGAAACCTAACCTAAAAATCTACTGTGCGTAAGTAAACATAATTTAATTGAAATATCTCTTACTTTCAAAACTTTTTTAACAGACAAAGCATTTTACAATGTCTGCCAGAATAAAAAAGATAGAGAGTACTGAAAAAAAAGAACACTAAAAGAAAATTATAAGATTTTATTAAAAATAAAACACAATAAAAAAGACAATTTATTTTAACGCATTTCTTACAAATGGTTGGATATGTTGATTGATTTTTATTTAATTTTTCATACATATCGTGGTGTTATGTGGGAAATATACTATCTGTACAAGATACTTTGCTCTAAAGACACATTACGTTAAAAAGTTATCGATCGATATTATTTTTGTAGTTGTAAGCCCTTTAGAAAATGGTAATGCATATTTTACATAAAATTCTATGTAATTTTCAAAAATGTCCTATGCACACGTAACGTAATTTCTAATGGATAAGTGATCGTTTCAAAATAGGGACATTGAACATGAAACACCGAGTCATGGTATGAAATCGGTATTTCATAATACGTACGTAGATACAGATCCTTACTTCAGTTTTTTAATCATATTATTGTTTATTCACAATAAATATACATTTTATGGCTGATTATGTGATCACAAAACATTGGACTATCGAATGGTATGCAAACATTCGAAGTTAATACATTACATTTTTCAAATTAGGTGATAATCGAATATCACCTAAAAGCGTTTTATAATCGATACGTTTATCTTATGTAAAGTTGCAAGAATCCTTTGGGTTAATTTAATTTAAGGTTCACTACATAGTTTATGTGGTTTGTTTCGTGTTCATTTGCTTATATTAGTGTAATTGTTATTGTTCTCTTTCTTATTTAAACTTCTTCTCCATAAGTTTGTTTACATTATAATTTATTCATAGTCTACGTGGCGTTCGTTGCATTTATTCGAACAAATTTCGCAAGAATAATTTGCAATTAAAAATAAGAATCTATTAACCGAAATTTGACTGTAAATGCTTTCTTAAAAACATATGCAATGATCATATCAACACGTTTGATTACAAAATACTCTCTGCTAGAGGTACTATTAATAACAATCTTCGTTTATCAAGAACCGTTTTTATGTTTTCAGGTTTTTCGATATGATATGATGAACGAGTAAACGATATGAAAGCTAATAAATGTGAATATGGTTGTCGTCCAGTTATAGTACTTTCTTAATAAATGTTCGTTAACAAAATATATACTCGTTAAAATCAGAGATCGGCAAAGTCGTTATCTAGATAAACAGATCTGAATAACGAATAAGAGAATAAAAAAAGTACTTCGTCATTTTTAATCGTTTAAACGTGGAAATACCAATTTTTATAACAAAATAATATGTACTTCTCCTGAATGAGTCGACATATGGCAAACAATTACTCAATCCCATTAACTGTTTAAAGTTCAGGATGACATTCTTAGATACTGCACCTTTTACTATGTATTATTCGAATACATTTCTGTTCAACTCTGGTTAAAATATATTACATTAATAAAAACGAACTCTGTATTCGTTTTCCATCAATACAAGTATATATCGATATTTTTTTTCGATAAATGTTACGAGTAAAAGTACCTATCGATACCTTGACGGCATTGGTTTATCCCTATTGTCGAATTACATATCTTACACATTAAAAGATTCAAATTTACACCATCTGCATATCTTCTGTTTCACTTAAATCTTTGCTCCACAATGAACAAATTTGTGTCTACCTAGAGGCCGTTCTGCGGAATCGCGTGCACGCACAGTGATACACGACATGTGTGTAATCATGCGAATCGTAGAGGTTGCCCAGCCCATTCAGGGACCAAGGGATCATGCCCAGAGCAGCGTCATTTATCAGCCGGCGGCCCTTCGCTCGTTTATTATTTCACTTTGTCGAGCATTAATTGAGATTTGGAGCCCGCAGCCAGGCTTTCCGTACTCCGCACCCGGAAATGATTCCCATCCTTGCATTTACATTATGAATCGATCGGCAATCATCGTTCCATCTGCCCACAAATTAATAAAAATAACATTGTACACGGGTGTTTAAATTTACTTTAAATTCAATCGGCGTTTAAGCTGTGAAAATTCGCAATTAATTGAATTCCGTTGCCAATTTCGGTAACCATAAAAAAGCGGGTTCGGTTTAATAACAGCGTTTTTTACTCGCTGAATCTCGTCCTAGTCCAACGGTGGGCAAACTGCGGCTCCCAAAGCTCAGAGCTCCTCAAGAAGGCTCCTCGGCACTCAACATTAAAGATTTCATAAACTAATAGCCATATGTGACTGAAACAAATATAATTGGCTTCAGAATTCCAAACTCTAGCACTGTAATAAACCTCGTTAAAAAGTCACCGTTATACCTGGGGATCTCTTTCTGTTAATGTCGAAGAGCCTGCGAACACACATTGAGGATTTTATGGTAGAAATTATATGGCAAGAATAAAGATCATATGTAAGGAAGAGGTGGGATGAAAGGGGCATTATAAATTTTCTGAAGTTGGAAGGTCTGCCCAGGACGATCGTCTTTTTGTTTTCGTTGAAAGTCGTTGTCGTTTCAAGCAAGGCAGTAACGCACGATTGAACTTTTTCGACATGAAAAGTAAAACTCCTGATAGTTTCTCGAAACGTTTTGCGAAGTGTTGTTATTACCGACTAACTTCTTTCTTACTACATGTGAACAGGTATTTATTCAAGAACAGTAACATGAAGTGTCCGGTATCTGTTGTTTAATACTCTGCTAATTGTTTGTTGGGTTTTCAATTTTGTCGCCAAATTTATGAAAGGGACACAACGAAAGTTTATGAATGGGACGTCCCTTTCAAAACTTTACTATGATTAGGAACATTCACCGTTTTTATATTAAACAACTCTTACTTTGAATGTTTTTCCTCACTTTTTTCAATTTAAATATGCCACCTAAAAAACGAGATTGTCTTAGTGCAGACAAAATACAAGAAGCGGTATTAAATTAAATACTTAATAACTAAATTCTGCGTGATAGTGGAACATTTTTAAAAAATGATTGAAACAAAAACTTGTTGCACCATGGCTTAAATCAGATATTGATATTCAAATTCTTTGTTTTTTACACTAACCGAATTTTAACGAAAACCCAACTATCAAAATCTTGCCTCTTCAAATCTTTTTCCTCTTATAAACTGAAATATAGTTGCTGTGGACATTATTAGACTGCGGATGTTTATGCAAATGCATATTTTTATAGAAAGTAGGAAAAGAAATGGGACTTGGACAAGAATTTGTTTTATCATTAGAGGTTTTTAAAAAAATTGATATTTTTCTGTATATCTTGGATTATGCATGTTTTGCATATTTTGTGCATATTGCATACATATTTCATACATATGTCTCTTAATTCCTATAAGATTTAATTTTAATAAGATTACAAAAATTAGTAAGATTTCGGAAGGCGCACATGTTGAAGGACTACAAGAGGTTCCTACACATAATTGATGCAAATGTAAATACATGCTCCTATAACGTTATGCGACGTAAAACGTTCTTGTTCAGCGTATAAAATAATTTTAACAGATAAGAAACATTAATTTACAGTCGATAACATAAAATAACTATTATAGTATACTATACTATTTAAATTATAAGAAATAAAACAATAAAATAATTAATATTTCGTCGCTATGTAGACATATTTTCTACATAATCCTCGCATATATTTTACATATATGTTGCATATATTTTGCATATTTCGACATATTATACCTGCATAAATATCCGCAGTCTAGACATTATGGAAAGCTTGAGGTGTTCGATAAATCTGTTTCAGACCGAAATTGAGACGGACAATGAGTGCACGGACAGCATTCTGTGTTCGAACAACAACAATAACAACAACGTGCCAGGTATCAAGAAGGTCGGTGTCAGTATTGGAAGCAGCGAGAGCCACGATGGCATGGAGATGGACTGCGGTGGTTGTGGGGAAAGTGTTCGCGAACGAACTGTCCTCTGCGTAGGAGGTCGTACCTGGCACTCCAGGTGTCTGAAGTGTTGCGCCTGTGCGAGACCCCTGCACGACCAGCACTCCTGTTTCCTCCGAGGGATGCGGCTTTACTGCAGGCACGATTACGCCTTGTAAGTACAACTCGTTTTTGCTTTCGGATTCTTGGATCTGGTTGTTCGAATTGAATTTCTTTTATTTAGAAATTTTGTTCCATCGAATATGATCACGATCGGAAATACAGTAATAGGGGAGTGTTGCCTATAGCGTATGGGTCTCTTAAATTGTAACTTATTAATTTCTTTATGATTAGTGAATACAAACGACATCTAATGGTAAAAATATGCAATAAATGACCAATGAGATGTACAGTGAGTGTAAAAAGTATTCGTACACCCTTTAAAACGGAACAACTCTTTTAAAATTGGTCCAAATGACTTGAGTTTTTTTGCGAAGTTAGAGACATTAATTTACTAAATGATGTGAAAAAAAAATTTGAAACAGTTGCAATTGGTCCGAATCGCGAAGAAAATATTAAAGGTCGTGTTTTACAACTTTTTAATCTGAGGCTATAATGAAAATTTAATAAATACATATCGAAGATTTATGTTAGTTATGTACATACTGAAACTTTCATTGAAATCGGTTAATACAGAAACGAGCGACAGACATCAAAAGATGTGAGAATTGTTAGATTTACTACAGTTGTAGATCGAAAGTCGGGAAAAACTGCGATTTTCAACATTTTTAACCGTTTGTATCTCGTAGCAACGTTAACCGATTTTGATGAAATTTTCAACATGTATATAACTAACATAAATCTTCGATATGTATTTATTAAATTTTCATTATAGCCTCAGATTAAAAAGTTGTAAAACACGACCTTTAATATTTTCTTCGCGATTCGGACCAATTGCAACTGTTTCAAATTTTTTTTTCGCATCATTTAGTAAATTAAAGTCTCTAACTTCACAAAAAAACTCAAGTCATTTGGACCAATTTTAAAAGACTTATTCCGTTTCAAAGGGTGTACGAATACTTTTTACACCTACTGTATAAAGAAAACGTCTCGAGATTACATCCTATTGTGTACTTGGTAGAAACGTTTAAAGAAATCAGATGAGGTTGACGTTATTTGTGACCAATACATTTTAACTGACAATAATCTCATAATACAGTTTTATTCTGCATTTTTATATTTTTCCAAAAGTTGGTTTCTTCTAGAATGTTTTACATGCCTGTTAGTAACATTAGTCCGAGGCCTTTGATTTTTAAAAGGACTGCGCTCTTTCGTGGTTCTAGGGCTAGGGTAAGTGCCGTGCGGTCCGTCACGGTCTTCTTACCAAAAAGTATCGCTGCCTTCCCTACTCAGTGGCTAGATCCTCTGGGAACAATGTCCTTATTCTTAAGGCAATGCCACGTCGGGCTGCTTGCCATCTCTAACTTTCACTCATCTGTTTCACGTAAACAACCCTCTTCCAAGACCGTATGCATTCTAGAAACCCTAGTCCATAAATTCTCCAACGGTCAATGATCGACAGGCCATCCGCCTTCGACTCCATTTAAAACTCTTGAAGCTAACATACCATGTAAAAGGGTTAAAAGTCGTTTATATGTATCGTTCAAAAGCATGTGTAAGTGATATACAATGTTTCCTGTATGTTTCAATCGATAACTGAAGCGGATATTTTCCATTTCACTGGGAACTTAATATAGGATCATTCCACGCCAAATCGATCACTTTTTGCACTCGCTATCACGGATTTTGTGTAAGATGAAAAAATATGTTGTAGTCCACGTGAAATTGAGGGGGTTTAAGTCATCGTTTTTCTGTTCCCGAATTTGTTTAAAAAATGCAGGCCACCAAAGTTTACGATTTTTGCCTATTTTCGTGAAACAGCAATGCACTGAAGAATTTATATCTCGGAAACTATTTATCGTATTGAATTCATTCTTTGATTATTTTAATCTAGAACGATTGTCCAACTATAGTAACTTTTTGTTATATGAACAATTGATTTATTAATAATGAAAACTTTAAATAAATTCTTTCTTCGTGATTTTCTCTGTGAGGGGCAAGGGGTGTTTAATTAAAAATAATAATATGGTTATATTCCTTGAAATCGTACCTACTAAATGTGCTCATAAGAAAGATGGAGCAATTAAAATTGTCCTCGCAAGGAGCCTTAGTAGTGACTGGTGCATGTACCCCGTTTCAGGTAAGGGTCATTCCACGCGAAATCGGACACCTTTTGGAGCACCATTTCGGATTTTGTTCCAATTTCGATATGTTGTAGCCTTTATCGATGTATAAACGTATCTCAAAGGATTTTTGAAAACTTAAAGAATTGTAAATTTTACAGCTGTTTGAAATTTAGAATCAACCTTTTTTCAATAAATCATAACCATTGAACTAACAAAAATATGGACACTTTAAAATTGGCCGTATGGAAATTAATTGAAGTGAACGCTATAAAAATAATAGCAATGCCTCCTGACTGTTGTAAACGTAAGTAGAAATACCGCAGTATCGTAATTGACTGTTGACTAAAAACCACGACACCTTCGGAAACCTGTCACACGCGTCCGAAAAGAGGCGTGGGGACCATTTTGGCGAGTCACGAGTATCTAATCCGAACCGATACCTTTCAAAATCGATGCTTCGGGAGCTGTTCGTGGAATCCTTTGAAACTACCTGCGCGACAGGGTGCTCGAGATATCAGTTATGCTGGTGTCAGCGTACCCCGCGAGAACGGTCCCATAAGTCGAACAAATGATCGTTCTTTCCAGGAGCTCCCGCGGTAGTCGAGAAACGTCCTCTTAAGCTCGGCTTTACGCGCCGGTTACGTACCAGTGGGGTGTCCTGCGCCGTCCTCGACATGACAGAATATTATTGGATTCATCGATAAAAAACTTCGTGTTGCTTTTCGATCGTTGGATAACTGTCGCTTCTGATAGATTGAATCAAGTGGATGGTGCATCTGGACAAATCTGATCTTTGTTTGAACTTTGTATGGACGAAGTTCTTGGTGAACGGTGAAGATAGTACAAATTTCATTTTTAATGTGGATAGAAAACATTCGATTTCATTAACCTCGTGCGTACCGAGGTAATCCGAAGAAATTTTTCACACGAATCTGATTTAATTTTTTTCTGCATGTCTAGCACACCACGTTCGAAAAGAAATTCATAGAATTCATCTAAACATTCATTTATTTCCAGAAAATCAGTGGCACACACATTGAAGATGACCTCTGGTCATCAAAATATATTAATATACGTATTGCAACCATAAGAATTCATGAAATACCCATAAGCGATTTACTAATTGTTCTGAAGATTGTGGTATTTTTCAAAGCACTCATTTCTTTACACTGCCGTGCATTCTTGCTCCTAATTATATGCATGTAACACATACGGCATCTTTGAACATGCAAGTTTAAATTTGCTAAATATTGTTTCAAATCTATTGATGAGTTAGAGTCGTCATTCTGTACTTTAGCCCAAGTAATGCATGACGGAGTCTGGCTCGTCAAATGTATCCAAAGGGTTAATTAATGAGAATTACACAGAGTGTTTTAAAACATGAGATTACAAATTTAGGAGTGAATTAGTACATATCAGTGTTTATAGAACCCTGTTTCCAAAGCAACTGCTTAAAGTGATCCATACAATGTTATAAATGTTCATAATTAAAGTCATATGTAAGACATAAAATGTTGATCATAGTAGAACCAGCAGTTCTAATTCATAGGTAACGAAAATGATCGAAACGTAAGGATTTTTATACTTAGAAAAATGGTCAAATAAGACACACTTTCGTATGAATATTATTGATTACCTGCTTCTGCTCAATTCACTGTTAGCCATGTTCGAATATGTTAATGCACGCCGTATAATTCGAGTAAACTGTTTCGTCTTTCCCCAAAAGTCTCACGGGTTACACCATTCACAAACACAGAAGAAATTCCACCCCGGAATAGAATGTACGAAAAGTTATGTAGCCATCAAGCCTGCTAGTAAAAACTAACATTTATGGCGTGTGGTCGTCTTGTTACCCGATATCGGCTTAATGATCACAACTTAAACGATTACAAGGCGATTCCAGAAGGGTGGTGGTTTTTGATTGAGAACACGAATATACAGGCATGTGTGTGCCGAGTCACGAGCGAAGACTGCCAGTGTTCCCGAGGAACCAAGGAATTCGCCTCGTAAGGCAGCTCTCGGAGCCAGCTATGATTTTCTCTCTTTCGTCCACCCTCGGAGCTTCGATACTTTTCAATCGGACCCGGGTGTCTTTTAAATTAATAAATATTCGTCGACGTTATTCCCCTCCCCCTGATCATTTCCTTCGTGTCGTCTCGACCGAAATAAAAAAAAAAGTAACCGGGTAGAGTAGAGCGAGGGGGGGATGAAGGGGAACAAAACGACGCGGACTGGACGAGAAATCGCTCTATTAGCGGTCTCAGCGTCGAAAATCCGGTTCTCTTAATTCAGTGTGGCCGAAAACCCGCGACAGTGAATCGGCCGCCGCCTTACTCACGACCGTTATCGTTTTTGCCTTAATGGCACTTAAATACGAATACCTTCCGAAAAAAGGCTTTGATCCCAATCGCCGGGGGTGATCTCCACCGGAGCCCACTGGAAGAGCGCGCTAGCGAACCGATAATTTCGAGACTTGCCGCATGTGTTTTCTTTTTCCGTGATTCTGCTTCCTGGTCGGACATTAAATCCGATAATCCCATGAACTTAAAACAGTAGACTCTAGATTTTTCGAGTCTAGAAATGTTCGAGATTACACTCGAGTAATACAAAGTCGAAGGAGCACCTTCTTGAATTGTAACTCACAATGATCAGTTTATTGTCACAAACTGTACACTAATAAATTTAAATAACAAAGACGATAACGATTAAGCAGCAATAATTCGGAGCGCCGAATTATTGAGACACGATTATTAAATCCGGAGCGCCGGTAATAATACAGTGGTTTTAATCGGGAGCACCCTTAGCTAGTTCGCACGTTGTAGACAAAGGTTCGATACGAATAGAAGGTGACAGAGGTTCGTCGCGGGTAATTAGACAGTTAATTGTATAAAAACTGTGCTCGCGGTCACGTAGGCACCTCGCACAGCAA